GCGCCCCTCCACGTCGACGGCCGCGACAGCTTCGACGCCCAAATCTGGCCACAGAGGATGGCCGCACGACTTGTCCAAGGCATCGTGGACCTACGTCGCCGCCTCAGGCGCTCGCATCTCGCGACCTATGTTCGTTAATGCTACGTCCAAGCGGCACCCTTTCCAGCAGTGGCCTCTGGAGCTACTGAGGGTGAGATTCGGAATGAAATGGCCCTCGAGCGCGCGCGCTTCACGTGCAGAGCGCGCCATCGCAACGTGCGAGCGGCGCCCTTATCCACTGGGTCCGCCCGGGTTGCCGTGAGGAGAAGGACCGCGACTGCCTTTCCGCGCACTCACGAGTTCAGCAAGTGCAGGTTCGCGGACTCTCACGCGGCCGCGCCCGCGCACCGGCCAACGCTCACGAGCGCCTGCGCGACCTGGAGGACCGCGCCACCCCGGCGACCAGCAGGCTCAGCTACCCGGCAGAGCCGACCTGGGAGCAGCTGGCGAATCCGCTCTGCTATCGGCGCCCGCAGGTACATCAGGGGCCAGCTCATCGTTTAGCGCTGGGGTTCAGGGTTGCGGTTCTGGCGACCTGCGCCGAGTGCCAGACCGGGACTTCGAGCCAGCTTGGCGACAGGGACAGTGCCGAGACGAACGGCGCGACGAGTTGCCGACGCTGCTGTCGGCAAACCTACTCCCTCCGATTGGGCCCGCTTCGACGTCGCTACGCCACTGCGAACGCTGCGCGGGGGCTCGGATGAGAAGCGCATGCGAGATGCGAGCAAAGACTGCACTTCCGGTGGTGGCGCGCCACCAGGGAGGAGATGGCGCGAGCAACGCGGGCGGCTAAACTTCCCCTAGGCATCCCCACAGCAGTCAACAACTGCAGGGAGTGCCGTAGCGGCAACCACCAGCGCGCTAGACCATCCCTACATTGCGCCCTTCAAAGCGATTGACTTTTCAATCCGCACGTCGAGCGCGACATTAATCAGGGCGAGGATCGCATGATCAAGCACCTGGTTTGCTGTGCCCTATAGTGTCTCAACGGCCAGGAGACCGACTCGTGGCGCGACTCGGCGCTGCACGCTGCCATCGACCGTTCGTGGATCCAGCTGTTCGGCGCGATGAGGGCGTTGATCGTCGGCGGTGAAGCCTGCGCGACCTCGCCGGGCTTCGCGGAGGAGATGGGGGGGCGAGGGGCCCAAGTGGATGTCGGAGCTCCGCGACGGCGCGCTCGCTGCGCCGTGCGAAGCGGATGTATTCTAGGACGCGCACTTCGTTCCGCAGAGGAGCAGCCAGAGTGCGAAGGCGCCAGAGCCAACTTCGATCGCGCGCTTGTTCGCGCGACCTTCGTGGGCAACGGCCTCGCCTACGTTGGCGGCGCTTCGCCATGCAACGTCGTCCACGGGAGGCGTGCCTCCATCCTGCCACCGCTGGAGGCAGACGAAGCGGGTGGGGTCACTGGCGTCTGCGACGCCGAAGCCAGCTCCTGCGCTGGCGGCGACGCGCAGCCCAGCCGCTCGCAGCGGCGAGTCCGAGAGATCGCGCTGCAGCGCGCGATCGAGTTCGCGCCTAGCTCCCGCGCCATGCGCGCCCTCCGGAAACGTGCCGCGGAATTCGGAGAAAGACGCTTCAACGTTGCGGGGACTTGCATGCTTCCGAGCGCCACGGACGCGTCAGGTGGGCGGGCCCCGGGGCGGTCTCGTCTGTCTACCCAGCTCGAGGTAAGGTTGCCGTCGAGTGCTGCCGAACCGACATGATCTGCAGATTTCAGGGCGTCCAGCCCTTCGCCGGTTCCGTCTTCACCTGCTTGGCGCGAGCCGGCCTGGCGGGGGGCCGCGCGGCGGACTTCCTGTGCCCAACGTTCGTGCCTTACGTCTGATACGCGGCCGGAAACTGTGGGCGACTCGCCGGGCTGCGCCCGCAGGCTGGTCATTTGGTGGAACCAGCCCGGGCCCAGGTGGCATTCAACGCGTTCCCCATCGACGGCGTCAGGCTCGACGCTCAAATGCTCGTTGGCGAGCAGTGGAAAAAGGGGGCTCGCGTCGTCGAGTTCATTCGGCGCGGGCGCTTTTGGCAGCGGGCCTGGGCGAGATTCAGATGGGGCGCCCGATGTCTTTGTCGCCAACGTTGCAGAGCCCGCTGCCAGCAGCGCTGAGGGGGGATCCCCACCAGCACTGTCGGCTATGCCCGAGGAGAGCGGCAGCGACTTCTCCGGCCACGTCCAGCAGGCGACGCTGGCAGCTGTGCGTTGTGCTGAAGGGGCAGAGGATCTGACCCAGGAGCTGTAGGAGCTGGAGAGCGACGACAGCCGGCAGAATATCCACGCTGCTGTCGAGCACGCGGCGGTCCGACTCGAGGCGCAGCGCCGGCGTCAGTGCGTCCACGCGCAGTGCCATTGCTATCGGCGCGGGGCCGCCCCAGACGACCACGCCGCGCTAGAAGAGGAGGATGAAGGAGGAGGGCGCGCCGAGTTGCATCTCGACCCGCGGGCGCGCGAAGCCTTCCTGAGCTTCGACGATAATTTGTTCGGCACCGCGTCGCTGGCGATTCCTGGGCAGCCACGCACAACGCGCGCGCCGTCGCCAAGACCGCGGCCGCCAAGTGCGACGCCGACATCCTGGCCGAGGAGGTAGTGTCTCGGCCATAGCAGGAAATGTCAGCAGCCATCCCCGAGGAACTCACCATCTGGACCAAGTGTGCATTTTTCTAGGAGCGGGCGCCCGAAACGTCATGGACCCCAGTGGAAGCACCGGAAGGGGCGCGCCGGCCAGACCGCGAGCATCATCCGACGCCGCGTGGCGCTCAGAGGCTTCCGCAACATGGGCGCCAGGGCCCTGGGGGCCTTCGCGGGGGCGGCGACGCGCGCGTCGTGGCGCGTGCCGTCCTCGGAAGTGGTGGTTCGCCGTGGCCAGGTCTAAGTCGCCGCGGGCGTCGCGAAGACTTCCAGCGGGGCGTGATCTATGCCGAGATGAGGTGCAATGTGAGGCACCGCGAGAGGTGAATGACACCGTGCCGCCCAGCAGCGCAGACATCCTCAGGCAGCTGCCGGGCTGCGAGTCCTTCGACGAGCGGACCGAGCGCCTGCGGCGCATCAAGGTTGGCACGGCCCGCAAGGACGTACCCCGAGACTTCTATGAAATTCGCGTGGTTCCCGCGCTCACCAGAGCGCAGCGCCAAGCCTGCCAGGTGGGGCCCGAAGCTCGGGGACAAGCACGAGACGTCCGGTGACTGTGCTGCAGGCGACTCGAAGCTTGTGCTCATACTGTCCAAAGATGTGGACGATTTGAAGCTCGCAGGGCACGAGGAACACGTAGGCTGGCTTATCAGTAACATCGAAAGCGTCGACGATGAAGGGTGACCACGACGACTCCAGCATCTGCGGAGCGCATCAGCACCTTTGCGCGACGGCGCAGTGACGCTCTACCAGGACGAGTATTTCGACGCCCTGACTCCGATCAGGCATGTCGACCTGGTCAAAGTGAAGGCCGACGAGCTGACCGGAGGTCAACTGCCAAACCTTTTTGTCTCCTTGTTGGGAGCAGCAGCGCGCGCCCTGCTCACCAAGCGATGCAGAGGGACAAGGAAAAGCTGAACGTACACAACATTACGCATCTCAGCTCACTTGGCTTGGCCATTTTAAAAATGAAGTCGCGAATCGCATTGCCTGCCATGGAAATGGGCTGGCCAGCTTTGCGGGAGAAGCGGCGGGTCCTTCAAGCGGGAGGAGGAGGCCACATACGGCATGAATGGAACCGTGTACATGCGTTTGGGCATGTGCCAAACGCCGGCAATGAGATGAGCCACTTGCTCCACGCTGTGAGCCGCTGACACAAGCTCGGCTCAGAGCTGGTCGCAGCCTGCGGAGCAGCGGACGGGCTGCAAGCCTAACTGACAAAAAAAAGGTGTTTTGATTTGGTCTCCCCCCCTTTTCTCGCGGCGGGGAATGGGACCAGTTCTAAATCCTCGTCGTTGCGGCGGAGATTTTGTTTACCTCCATCGTTGGGCGGACTGGATAATGTTGGGGGTTTCGCTCTCCCAGGGGATGTTGGTCTGTGGGCCACCCTGCGCGACAGAATGTTTGACCACGTTTGTAAGAGGATTACTATATATACACTTATGTATAGATCGGCAAATGATTTTCCGAGGGCGCTGTTCGCTCGTCGTGTTTGTAAGTCAATCGAACCTTGCGATCGTGTGCTGATATAGTCTGCACGTGCATCTTAGCACTGTGAGTCGTCGAAGTCGTAGTCGCGTATCGTAGCCAGCGTAGTCGTAATCGTAGTCGGTTTGGGGCATACTGGCTAGTTATCGCCGTTGTCGCAATCGCAGTCGTAATCGCAGCTGTCGGCGTTGTTGTTGCGCGCCGGGTGCAGCTGAGAATGAAATGGCTTGTTTCCCCTGCGTGTGGAAGGTCAACTTGTGAATAAGGCCTCCAAGCAATATTCAAGTATACCTTATTGAGGGTGTCGAAACATCCTTCCCGCCTACCTCCTGACATACCACGATATCAAGACCTTGAGAGAGGAGGGAAGCTACGCTGTGCCCGTAACCCTTGTCGTGGACGGTATGTCCGTCTTCGCGGCACAGGCCGCGGGTTTGTTGTCGACCACTTAAATGCTGTTATCCGAAATTCGGATAACAACATGGCCAGACACGTGTGGTTGCTATCTGATCATTTACGCACCAAACTGATACACGTTTTGGTGCGATACGCGAGGCATGAGGGCCGACCTCATGGCGAAGGAGAGCATGACACGCTGTTTGCACGCACTGACCGAAGAGGCTGCCCCTTGTCTGTCTAGTTTGTCGTTTGCCGGGACGGGTGGATCTTGTTTTACCGCTGCTATTCTGTTCCAAACGATCCTTACGGGGCCCGCTGTAATTCCCGCCCTGCCGCATCCGCCTTTCATCCGCTTGCGCAGAAGTATCCCGCCTTTCATCGCACATCCCAATCTTTGGTACCCGTCCATTTTCTTTTTCTTGCCTGTTCGGCCGGCGGCGAACCCCAGCTGGAGGCGGCAGCCGCGCCAACGGGGCGCCCGCGCCGCCGCGCGGCTTCCCTACGAGCAGCTGCCCCGCCCTTGAGGCGTGCTCGCGGGCGCCCGCAGGCCCTCGGAGTATGCCCATGGCCGCCGCTGCTGATGACGATGATAGTGGCGATGGTGTGATAATGCTGGTGATGATGGTGATGATGATGATGAGGAGGAGGAAGGTGATAATGGTAGTGTTGATGCGGATGACAATGCTGTTGCTGTTGATGATGAGGATGGCGATGAAGAAGAGAAGGACGATTAGAAGGGTTCGGAGGATTATGATAATGATGCTGATGCTGATGATGTGGATTATGACGGTGATATAAATGATTGCTCGTGTAGATCATGGGAATGATGATGGTAATGGTGATTGTGATGTTGATGATGAGGATGGTGATGATGCTGATGATGATGCTGCTGCTGATGATGGTGATGTTGATGTTGATGATGATGATGATGATGATGATGATGATGATAATCATGATTATGATTGTGCTTATGATGATAATGATGATGATGATGATGATGATGATGATGATGACGATGCTGATGATGCTGATCATGATCATGATGATGGTGATGATGACGATGATGATGATGATGATGATGATGGCGGTGGTGGCGGCGGTGGTGGTGGTGATGTTGATGTGGATATTGGTGTTGATGTTGATGTTGATTATGCTGATGATGGTGATGGTGATGGTGGTGGTGGTGATCATGATGCTGATGATGATGCTGATGATGATGATGATGATGATGATGATGATGCTGCTGATGATGCTGCTGCTGCTGGTGATGATGATGATGATGATGATGATGATGATGATGATGATGATGATGATGATGATGCTGATGATGATGATGATGACCAGGAGGAGGAGGAGGAGGAGGAGGAGGAGGAGGAGGAGGAGGGAGAGCAGAAGGAGCAGAAGCTGGAGGGGGAAGGGGAGGGGAAGGAGAGAGAGAGAAGGGAGGGGAGGTGGCTGCATTTCGTGTTCCCCTCCTCCGTGCCCCTCGTCGTCCTCCGCATCCTTGTGCTCCGCCTTCTCGTCCTCCGCCTTCTCGTGTTCCGCCTCCGCGGGAGGGGACGGTGGAGAGGGTCCATGCCTCCGACGTCGCGTGCCTTTCCTCTCAACAGAATGACGGCGAAGGTATGAGGAGGGAGAGTGCTTCCCATACTCGTCCCTCCTCGTCCTCCGCGTTCTCGTTCCGCCTGCTCGGGATGGAGGCGGGAGGGAGGAGGGAGCGGGAGAGAGGATAGATGGCAGAGGTAGAGGGGAAGTGGGGAGGAGGGGGCAAGAGGAAGGAACGAGAGAGGGGGGGGGGGCCAGGGGAGGCATGCGGGGAGGAGCTAGGGAGGACACACGAACCCGAGCCTGATTTCCCGGTGGGGTGCTTTCCGTTTCACTTCCGATCCGTAGCCGTTTTGGCTTCAAGCCAGGCGGCACGGTCCACCTCTGCCGCGCCCTGGGCCCTTCGGGCGCCGCGCCGGGCGCGGGGGCCCCGGGCCATGGCGGCGGCGGAGCTCGCCGCCGCGGGGGCGGTCTCCGTTGCTGTTACCGCAGGTGTCTTCATGCTGTTGTGGGCGATCCTTGCCAAGCGGGGTGCCCAGGTTGCCATGTCCGCCTGCTGTTTCGTCGCCGCTCTCGTCAGCACGCAGCTGCTGATGAAGAGGCTGAGTTCGCCACCGTACGGCTTCCGGTACCCAGGCCTGGTGACGGCGCTGCATTTCTTCTGCGTCTGGGTGGCTTGCCTGGTCTACTGGAGTGCCATGGGGGAGCCGGGCAAGAACTGGCCGGGCTCGATGGGCTCTGCAAGGCGCTTCGCCAAGCTGGTTCTCCCTATCGCGCTCAGCAACCCCCTCACGGTTGTCTTCAACAACAAGGCCCTGGTGCACGTCGGGGCGGGTCTCTGCGCCGTTATAGGCACCCTGTCACCAGTGGCAGTGGCGCTCCTCGCCCGGGTGTTCGGCCGGCGCATGAGCATCGTCTCTTGGCTGGGCATATTCGTGGCCTTCTCCGGGGGCGTTCTTATCACCAAGACGGAGGTGCACGGCCTGAAGCTCGGCAGCGCCACGGCCGCGGCCGCGGTTGTGGGGATCGGCTTCGCGCTCGCGTCGGTGGGGCTGCGGGCCTTCAAGATCGTCCTGATGGACAACCTGCTCGCACCGTCGGCGTATCAGGGGGCGAAGGGGGAGTCGAGGGCAGAGCCGACGCTATCCCCGATGCACGTGTACGCGCTGCAGGCTCCTTGGTCGGCCCTGGTGTCCATAGTATTCGCCCTGTGCACGGAGAGCGTCAGCAGCGCCTATGGCCAGCTCACCGCCCCAGTCATCGGGATGGTGGGCATGACCACCATCAGTGCGGTCTCGCTGAACTTTCTCGGAATTTTCTCGCTGAGGGACTTAGGCGCCAGCATGCAGCAGATCATCGGCAAGCTCAACACGATCTGCACCATGGCCTTGTCTGTGGGGCTTCTGGGCGAGAGCTTGCCGGGCGTCGTCCTGGTTGGCAGCGGTATTGTCTTGCTTGGCGTAGCGATCTTTGAGCATGGGAAGCGAAGCGCAGCCGACACAAAGGACACCGCCCCAGCCTGCCCACCGAGCGGCCCCGTGCCAGTCGAGGAGCACGGCGTCCATGCGTCGGACGCCGACGCCGAGACGACCACCCTTTTCGGGAAGACCGCGGCGAGCAGGAAGGCTTCGCCGTGCCCGGGAAGACGGTCCAGCCCGCCCTCCAGCGCCGCCGAGCCGTGAGGGCGCAGCGGGGCTGAGCCGCGCGCGGAAGGGGGGCGGCGGGCAGGAGGAGGGAGGGAGCAAAGCACGAGAGAGAGGGGGGGGATTTTCCAAGATTTGCTCTTTTTGCGGCCTAGCACTGCTTGGCAGAATCGCGTATGTGAGACCTCTTCCCCTAGTGGAGCAACGGTGAGGTCGGCCGCAGAGGTGCGAGCTCGACCCCAAGCCGCGTACTGGATGTCCATAACTGCGCATCACCCGTGTCGTGGAGTGAAGCACCTCAGGGCGTTGGTGCAGAGTATGCCCGAATGGAAAGAAGGGACACACACACACATAAGTAGCACATTCGATCCTCAACCCGTAGAGTCAATCTCTTGCGACGCGTCCAGTGGTCCGACTTGCAGTTTTACCTCTCCCACCCCCCCTGTGTCCTGCTCGGGGCCGATGGTGAAGCGCCGGCGACACTCCTCGGGTAGAACCACACAGGAGGACACCTCAACATCGATGGGGTTCACCAAAGTGGGGTCGAAGTAAATGGGGTCGGCAGATCGCGCCGCATCGCCGGTACATATCGGTGATGCAGCTCGGTCATCTCCACGCCGACGTCGCCGATGCATCGCCGACGGCGCTGATGCATCAGCGATGCATCAGCGATGCATTGGCAATGCGGCGCGATCCTCCGACTCCGTCTGCTCGGATCTCATGGGGGCGGCCTTCAAAGGTTTTTCACACTGTGTTCGGCCTCTCGGGGCACTTCTGGGACCCTGGTGTTGTGGAAAGAAAGACGCAGGATGAGAAGGCAGTCTTGGGAAAGCCTCGGCCCCCCTCTGAAGACACCATATTTTGTTCTGGGTTACGGCAGCTGATTGCGAGAACATGGAGGGAACGTCTTCACGGGCTGGTCCGAGGCAGGTTGGGCAAAGACCTCGAATGGGAGATAGTTTGCTTGGAGTGCGGTTGGGAACTTTGGGATCTCGTGACGCACCACCAATGTTACCCCCACCCCCTCCGCACCTTGGCCCGACATGGCGACATGGTTGTCGTCGTTCAAAGCCTTTCTCAACCTCAGCGGCATGTGGTCATTCTATTCAGCAGGAATCAGTGGCAGGGCAAGATATGGGCACGAGTTCTCTATGACGCCTTGGGTTATGCAACGGCAATACGAGTCATGTGTTTGTTGCATCGGTCCATTGATGAGTTGGTAGACGCGTGCACCGTACGTCGACACATTGTGGTTATTTCAGAAGTTACCACAAGGAAAGCTTACATGAATTAACATTCCTGTTGTATGAACTGGTCATGCCCTCAACTGTGTACAAGAGAAGGACTGTGCACCTGCGATTCGCGAGGTAGTGGAAGACAGCGGAGCTCGGCTGTCTTGCGGCCTCTCTTTCTTTGTTGGCGTCGGTGGTCCAAACCCTTGGTGCCTAACTCGTGCGCGCGCGCCCCGCCCCCTCCGGCGGTGAGGTGGTCAGCTGCAGTGTTTCGAACGGCCACGCGGCGTGCAATGTGAATTCGAGCCAGCACGTCCAAGGTGCCAGGGCCTGTTTCGGCAATTCGCTTCTGCACCTCCCCTTCCTCCTCCTGAGGCGCTGCCCACCATTATGTGCGCGTTGGCTTTGTACATCTCAGATCACCGTATTTCAGGATGGTGTTCGATCTTGTCGACGCTTCGCGTGCATGGGTGCGCGGGGCCGATATCGACTCTTGGCGCCTCGCGTGCCCTCATGAGCCCATCAGGACGCGATGTCCAGTGGAGCTGCCCCGAACAGGAGAGCATGACACCATTTGGAGATATCGGGGGCGTGTGTGGGCCAGGGACCCCCCTGGAGTCTTTCGAGGATCTCTTGGGGTGTCCCTTGATGGTGGGCCTCTTGGGGCGTGCTCGGGGTCTCTTGGATGCAGTTTTGAGGCCTCGTGAGGGCCTCGTGGGGGCTTTCCGGGCCGTCTTAAGCGCCTCGTGGGCCTTCTTGCGGCTCTTTCAGGGGCTGGTCTGGCCGTCTGGGGGCCGCATGTGAGGCTATCGGTCGAGGAAGAGGGGTCCTTAATTAGCTTTGCCCCCAAACGATGGCCCAGCACTTTGGACAAATCAATGCGTTGAGCCTTCTCGCCGGACCTCTTTGGGTGTAAATGCTCGCGCCCCCCCTCTCGGGTCAAGACCAGGGAGAAGGGGAAGTCGGAGGGGTGATCCCCTCCCCGAAGGGGAACACGGGGAGAGCTAAAAGAGTAACGCGCTAAATCACCTCCGCCTGGAGGGCTGCTGATATCAATTCAGTGTTTGCCGCGCTTCGTTTGTCGGAGGTCGTCATGCAGCTCCA